AGTATCTTGTAATAACCTATATGGAAAAATTTGAAAATAATATATATACATATGTAACTGAACCCTTTGCTGTACACTTGAAACTAACACGATAGTGTAAATCAACTATACTTCAATTAAAAAAAAAGTGCACCCTGGCGGGGAGGGTATAGCTCAAGTGGTAGAGCACATGCTCAGTATGCATGAGGTCCCAGATTCAATTCCCAGTACCTCCATTAAATAATTAGTTAATTAAATAGACCTAATTACCTACCCCCACCAAAAAAAAAGCACCCTTTAACCAACTTCTCCAATATAGAAAATAAATTCCATTCGTTAAAAAAAAAAAGAGCAGTGCCCTGTCACTGTGAGAGACACTGATGAACAGTCCCCCAGAGAAGTTGTGCTGGTCTCGTTCCCATCAGTGGTGGATGCAATGGCCTGTTTGGGGAGAAGGACGTGTGGATTCCACAGAGCCAGGAGTAGAGAGTGGCCCCAGAATCTTGTTTTAAGTGTAGTGTAAACTCCACATAAGAAAACCACCGTTATCCACACTGGAGAATGGGAAGGAGAGGTCTGATGGAGAGGCTAGAACAAGCCCTTCCCAACCCTGGCACCGCTTCTGCACAGAGTAAGGGCAGGGGGGCTCAAGCCAATATCATCCAGCTTCGAGTTGCTACAAAATTCCAGAAACCTCTGGGCTGCAGATTACTCAGGATGAGGACACCTGTGCTATTGAAATCTCATTTATTAAAAGACGATGAAGTGACCAAGGAATTCCACTCCTAGGCAGTCCCCTCAAAGAATTGAAAAGAAGTACTCAAATACTTATATTCGAATGCTCATAGCAGCACTATTCACAATAGCCGAAAAGGAGAAACAATGAAAATGTCCATCAACAGATGAATGGATAAACAAATTGTGGTCTATCCACAGCGTGGAAGATTATCCAGCCACGAACGGAATGAAGCATTGATTGATGCTATAACATGAATGAATTCTTTGAAACATTATTCGAAGTGAAAGAAGCCAGACACAAAACGTCATATCTTCCATGGTTCCATTTATATGAAATATCTAACACAGCCAAATCCATAGAGATAGGAAAGACATTAATGGTTGCCAGAGCCTGGGGGAAGGGGGAATGGGGAGTGACTGCTTAATGAGTTCAAAGTTTCATTTTGGCATAATAAAAAAAGTTCTGGAAATAGATAGCAGTGATGGTTGCTCAACATTGTCAATGTACTAAATGCCACTGAATTGTACACTTTAAAGCAGTAAATTTTATGTGGGTTTTATCACAATTAAAAAATCATTTAAATTTTTTATAGAAAAAAAAATTTCATCTCCCAGCTTTTACTGGCAGTTTTTCAGGAACCAATCAAATTCATGAAGTCAAGGATGGGTGAACTGTTAAAAAATAAAATAATATTCTAACTGTTAAAGAAAAAATTACTTAATGACACCAGTTAAAGCATAAGGCAGACTTTGTTCAAGGGGAGGGGGCTATCAAAAGGAGTCGAAGTCATTACGAAAGAGAGAAGAGTTTCAGGAACTGGAAAATCCAAAATGACTGGTTTTGCTGTAGGCACTGCCTCTCCGCATATGGAGCCTTTGCTCCTAGGGATTAGCAGTGAACATTTATCAGAATCCCTTTCACCTCTAAACTCCACTTCTGCTCCATACTAAACTCCTACCAGAATGAGGCCGGTTTGGACAATCTGGCTGAAGCCCAGGACTGGGGCTCTCTCCCCTAGGCAGCTCCACTTGGAAATAATGGCTGGGTTTGCATCAACTTCTGTGAGGCAGACAGACAGAGGAAATCTCAAAACTGCAGCAGGAAGGCCTGAGGGTAGATCCTGGACGGATTCTGACCCTGATGAACACCACCGGGAATACCACCTTGAAACCTGCCAGGTGTTGGAGACTGGGAGGCAGGGGACTGGGAACACCTTGAGGGAAATGCACTTCCCTTGAGCAGGGTCATGAATCTGGGAGGTAGGGCAAGTCCAAAGACAAGTCAGTAACGGGCATTTGTTGGCTCTTCATGCAGCATCTTGCTCCTCCCAACAGTCCAGTAAGGTGGGGATGCTTGTCCCATCCTTCAGAGGAAGCCGAAGCCCCAAGAAGTGAACTCATTTGCCCAAGATCCCAAAACCCAGGGATGACAGAGCTGGGCTGAGAGCCAGGCTCACCCACTCACAGCAGGCCTGCGCTGGTGTCTGCAGTTGTCAAGATGATTCAAAGTCAAGATTTCTTTCTCATCCCAACCTGGGGACTCTGCAAGATGCTGGCACCTCTGACAATCTGATGTGTGTCCAGTACATACACACGCGCACACAGAACCTGCTACTGATGTTTGGCACCCCGACTTGGTGTTCTCTCCTCTTGCAGGCTGAAATCTCACCTGGCGCTGCCCACCTCAGACCCCTAGTTGTGCGCTGTCCACTTTCTGTGATGGTGATGGAAATGTTTTAGATCTGCGCTGTCAAATGTGACAGCCACTAGTCACACAGGGCTGCTACGCCCTTGAAAGTGGCTAATTTGAGTAACTAAGTTTTTTTTAAGGCACTGAAGTTTAATTACTTCAAATTTATATTTAAATAGCCATATGTGGCTAGTGGCTATGGTATGAGCTCAATCCTAGACCTGCCATCACCCAGGCCCTTGTCCCAACAGAGCTCAAAATTACAAGTGGTCCCTCCTCCTTCTCCAGCCTCGCCCCACACACTCACATCCTCCCACTTGACCTTCCATTCGTCCAGGGTTCTGCAGCCTCCTCAGTGAACCCTGATATCTGTCTCAGCCTCCACGCCCCTGCCTGTGCTATTGACACTGCCTGGTACACCTCACCCTACTCCACTCCACCTCATTCCTCCTCCTACTCCAGGTCTCAACTCTGACCAGAGTCCCTCCTCCAGGAAGTCCTCCCTGCCCCTCAGGCTGAGTGCCGCATCTCCCAGGCCCCTGGACTCCTTCATCCCAGCGCTGATCATTCAGGGTCATCGTTGTCTGGGGATGGGTCTGTCCCCTGCACTCACAGAATTGTGAGCTGCAATGTGGACTGAGGGCAGAGAAGAAGCTGTCTCAACCATCGCCGTATCCTTAGTATCACCCAGCACAGGGCCAGGCACAGGGAGGGACTGCATGTTGGAATGAACAAATAGAGGGATGTTTTGGAAAAACTATGCTAAGAGCTGTAGGGTGAGCCAGCCACAGGTCAAATCTCCACCTACTGGTAGACGTGCCTCTCTCCTTGAGCCTCTGTTTCCTCATCAGCGAAATGGGAAGAGCTTTGCATGGATGTGGGATGTGGCAGTTGGATGAGGCACCTACCTACCTGCCTGGCCTAGGGGACTGCTCAACCAGAGGCTGCTGTGACTGTTGTTAAAATTATTGCTGTTCCTACTGCTACTCACACTCAGTGGGAAAAAGAGATTAAAAGAGGTCAAGGGAGGAGTCCTGAGAAGCCCCAGAAAGTTTCCCAGTCACCCTGGAAAACTGGTTCAACCAGTGTCTCCGCGTCCATCCCAGAGAGCACAGGTGAAGACTCCAGAGGCTGTGGGAAAGGGGTGCTGGGCTGGGGCAGCCTCGGCCATGTCTCACAGGCACCCCTGGGACCCCTACTGAGCTGGCCCACTTCTGAAAGCCTGGGCCCAGCCCTCTGGCCCCCTCAGTATCCAGTAGGTGGCCCCTTGGCATCTCCAACAGGACACCGAGATGGAGATTCCTGCTGGAGCCCAGCAAGACTTCTCAAAGAGCCTTCTGCTCTCAGGTAAGGAGGAAATATACCTCTAGGGCTGAGGGGAGAAGTGGTACTTAGCCCAGGGGCTGAGGTTTCCTCTTGGAAGATTGTTCCAAGGGAAAGATTGTCAGGGAAGATGAAATTATTAGGGTAAGATGGGAGGGAGGGACAGCAGAATCACAATCTCATCCCCATTTTCTCTATGGAATTTTCTAGAATGTCAGGACCATGAGGGCTGGAATTTATCTATATTTGATTCCCTACTGAGTCCCCAGTGCCTAGAAATCTAGGGAATTTTAGACATATATAATTGGTATTGTAGCATAAATAATATATTGGTTTTTAAAAGTATTGGTTAAATGAATAAGTTAATTCAGAGAGTCCATGTGTTTAAAGGTAGGTCACACAGCATCTCAGAGCAGAAAACCTTCTGGACCAATGGGATGGCAAATCTGTGGCACCCATGTCTGAGTTCCCACTCCTGCACTGAGGGCAGACATCACTAGTCAATCCCAGCACTGTTTCCAATGAATAGCACACAGAGCCCCGAGTTGAGAACCTATAGAGAGGAGAGAATGCAGGAGATGTCCCTGCCCAACACTTCTGATTTCAGGCCTCCCCTGTAACCCCACAGCCTCAATCCTGGCCCTCTGGGTCCCCCCAGGCTCCTGGGCAGCCCTCCGCATCCAGAAGATTCCAGAACAGCCTCAAACAAACCAGGACCTTCTCCTGTCTGTCCAGGGCATCCCAGACACCTTCCAGGACTTCAACTGGTACCTGGGGGAGGAGACCTATGGTGGTACGATGCTATTCACCTACATCCCAGGGCTACTGAAGCCCCAGAGGGATGGCAGTGCCATGAAGCAGCGAGACATCATCGGCTTCCCCAACGGCTCCATGCTGCTGCGTCATGCCCAGCCCACAGATAGTGGCACCTACCAGGTAGCTGTCACTATCAACCCTGCCTGGACTATGCGGGCCAAGACCGAGGTCCAGGTGGCCGGTGAGTGTTGGGCACTGAAGGAGGAAGTGGGGAGGCTGATGCACCCTGAGCAGCCACCACATGCCAAGCTCTGGGCAAACATTTGGTCCTCTCATTCATCCATGCAACACATATTGGTTGAGCACTTAACTGTGTGCCAGGCCTGGAGATATCATTTAATACTCCTGTGCATTAACTAATTAAGTATCTACTGAATGCCTACTTTGTGCCAGACCCAGAGCCAGAGCCTGGAGAATGCACCATCTCACTGACTCCTCACATGCATTAATTCATGAAAAATCTATTTAGCATCCACTGTATGCCTGGTCTTAAAGGATATATATTCATAAGTAAAGTATTTATTGATGAATCCACTCTGGGCAAAGTACCAGAGAGATGGTGGTGGACAGTAGCAACAGCTAACATTTCTTGGACACTTGTTATGGGAACAGTGTTATAGGAACACTGTTCTAAATGCTTGCCCTGGGCTAGTTCTTTGCAGTAGGGACCTGTTCTGTGCACTGTAGGATACTGAGCACCCTCCCCGGCCTCTAGCCACTAGATGCCAGTAGCAGCCTTTCAGTCGTGACAACCACAAACGTCTCTAGACGAGGTCAAATGTTACCCTTGGTTGAGAACTACTGCCCTATATTAACTTATTTGTATCTTAAAAAATAGAAAACTCCGTGAAATGTTATATGCCAATTATATCCCAATAAAGCTGGCGGGGGGGAGATAACTTAACCTTCCCTGGCAGATCTATTTCTTTATTATTTTTAATGGAGGTACTGGGGATTGAACCCAGGACCTTGTGCATGCTAAGCATGCACTCTGCTGAGCTATACCCTCCCCCCAAAATATGATCTTAATTTATTATTTACATGTTCACTCTCAGCATCGTACATTGGAATGAAGGTAGGGATTAGTTTTTTTAATCATCATCTGTGCTCTTGTAGGACTCTGCTCATCCCCTCACCTTTCTGATTATCACAACATGTTCTAATTTATCACTCTACAAACTTGTCTCACTAGAATAGTAATTATTCAAAGTGACAGAAATAGAACATACTCATCCTTTTGTCATCCGTCTACCACAGTAGGTGGGACATAATGGGTTCTCAGTTAATGTATGTTGAATAAACAAATGAGTGAATGAAAACTTTCAAAACAAAATTCCATGAGGTGGGCACCATTGTTGTGTCCATTTTACAGATGGGGAAACTGAGACACACAAAGCAGTAGAGCTGGCATTTAATCCCATGAAGTCCCCAGGCCAGCATCTGGGAGCCTAACCACTTCCTCTCAATGTGGGATGCTCAGAATGAACATGTAAATAATAATTTAAGATCAAATTTCAGCAGGGGAGGGTACAGCTCAGTGGCAGAGTGCGTGCTTAGCATGAATGAGGTCCAGGCTTCAATCCCCAGTACCTCCATTAAAAAATAATAATAAATACATGAACCTAATTATCTCCCCCCCAAAAAAACAAACAAAAAGATCACATTTCAAGCAGAGACTTTAACAACAATAGTGATAGCTAACACTCTTTAGGGCTTATTACATGCCAGTTTTACATATAATGGGTCATTTCATCATCATTGCAGCCCTGTGAAGCGGGCATTATTATAAGACCCAATTTACAGGTGAGGAAACTGAGGCCCAGAAAGGTTATGACTTGTCCAGTTAAATTTTTTTTTAATTAAATAGGAAGATGTGATCAGGGATGGGCCTCATTGAAGAAGTGACATTTGAGCAAAGGGAGGGAAAAGATCTCTGTAGATTTCAGAGTACAGAGTTCCTGGCAGAGGGAACAGCAAGTGCAAAGGCCCCAAGGCCAGCTTGGTACATTCAAAGCATAGACAGAAGGACACAGGGCTATAAGACATTGAGCAAGTAGGGTGTTAGGAGGCGAGGTCTAAGAGGGAGACGGGGCCAGGCTCATAGGCCGTGGAGAGATTGACAAGAATCCACCAGAGGGTTTAAGCAGGGGAGTGATCTGATTCACAGCCTAACCTGTCCACGAGGCACAGTGTAGCCTGAATCTCTGTTTTATCCAGGAAGAACCTGAGGTTCAGACAATTTAAGGCACCTCTCAAACATCAGGCAGCTAATCATCAAATCAGCAACAGAGTTGGGATTCGCGTGCAGGGCCTCCTGAATCAGGCCCACAGCTGCCTCAGCAGAATCTAAATTGCTTATTCACTCATCCTTCAGCACTTTCCAAGTGCTGCCTCCTCAAGGTCTCCTCTGTGTCCAGCCTGTATCGGGCAGTGTCAGAGACACAGTGATGACCAAGGCAGCCCTGGCCTTGCCCTCTCAGGACTCATAGCCCAGTGATGGAGACAGATATTAGCTACATAATCACACACACACAAACACAATCAGGGAGGTTGCCTGGAAAGGTAATCCTTCAACAAAGCTTGAATGATGACAACAGTTCTAAGTAGAAGGGGAAGGAGCTTTGGGAGATATTTGGGCAGAGGGCTAAGCCTGTGCAAAGGGCCTGTGGCAAGAAGCTGTAGGGCTCATGAACTGAGCTGGCAGGAGGCCAGCATGACCGAGGCAGGACAGTGAAGGGGGGCATCCTACGAGGCCAGCACTGCAGGACAGATTTGAACCAAGGCTCAGGTTGTAAATACATAAGCTCTCTCTACCTGGCTCAGAGTTGGGGTGCCTAGTAGAACCCGAAGTAGCCCCTGAGATGTCAGTTCTAGGAGGCCTGGGTTCCCAGCTGTCTCTTTGGAGCTTATAACAGGGCCAGACACACTGTTGAATGAATGAATGGTGGGGAAGCCCTGCCCCTGGTGGGAAAGGAAGCTTTGTCGGGAAAGCAAGTGCTCCCTCTTCCTCCAGGGGGCAGCATCTCTGGTATCATCTCTGTTCATGGGCTCTACCTTCCTCTCCATGACTGGTGAGTCCCACCAGGACACTAAACAGGGTGCCAGCCCAGGTTTCTTTGCATATTCTAAATCTCCTCTTCCAAAATGCAGAGATAGAAAGAAAGGGAGCTGGAGAGAGAGAGATGAAGAGAGAAGCTGGTTGGCCTGGCCTGGCCTGTGATTTGCTTCCTCTTGGGTCAAGGGTCTACCCCTTTTCTGAGGGGGGGTAGGATCAAGTACCACCAACAAGATGGGGAGCTGGGGCTGGGGTTAAGGGCTAGGAAGATGAGCAAGGAATCAGCAACTGCCATCCCTGGTAATAGTCACAATATAGACTTATCACCATTTTGTTCACCATTATTCCCCTGGTGCCTACAGCAGGGCTTAGCACACATTAAGCCACTAGAACAATACTTTCGATGCCATCTCCCATCTATGGAGCACTTACTACACATCAGGCACTTCCAGCTAAGCGCTCTGCCAGCCTCACCTGATTCCATCCCCACAAAAGGTAGCCTTGGGATGATCCCCATTTTACAGGAGGATAAACTGAAGCCCAGAGAGGGCCCAACAGCCTGCCGCTGGGAAAGGGAGGGGCCAAGGCTCCAGCTGGGTCCGAGTCCATGGCCCTGGTCCCTTGCCACCTGCCTCTTCCACGGGGACTCCCAGGGAAGCACTGAGAGGTCCCCATGGAGATCAGCAAGCTAAAGGGGCTAGAACAACCTTGGCTTCCAGAGAGCTGAGCACAGCAGGCAGGGAAGCAAGGCGGTTCAGCTCAGTGGAAAAGGAAGAGCAGAGGAAAAGACGGAATTGGGGATGGGGTTGGCTGCTAGTGTCCTCGTGCCAGGGGATTTATATTTAAAGGCAGCTGTGCCCCAAATTTAGCCCCCGACCTAGGTGGGGACTGGAAATGACTGACAGCACTTCCTGCGTCCCAGGTAACTCACGTACTTGATCTCTTTTAATCATCAGGGAATTTGGCTGTAACAGAAGCCAACCCCAGCTAGCATGGGCAGAAAGATGTTTAATAAATGTCTAAAAAAATGTTAAAAATCAACTTATTTACAAAATAGACTCATAGACATAGAAAACAAACTTATGCTTACCAAAGGGGAAAGGGGAGGGGAGATATAAGTTAGGGGTTCGGGATTAACAGATACACACCGCTACATATAAAATAAACAACAAGGATTTACTGTACAGCCCAGGGAACTATATTCAGTGCCTGTAATAACCCATAATAACAATAATACAATACTGTAAATCAACTATAAAATTTTTAAACCTATTAAAATTAAAAATTAATAAAAAAATAAGTAGGGGGAGGGTATAGCTCAAATGGTAGAGCAAATGCTTAACATGCATGAGGTCCTGGGTTCAATCTTCAGTACCTCCTCTAAAAATAAAAACCTAATTACCTCCCCCCAAACAATAACAACAAAATAAACAAATAAATAAATAAATAGAAATAAAAATTTTTTTAAAAGATGACATAAGAAAAAAAAAGGAACAGGACCTCCACGAGGCTGGGAACCAGGAACAAGGTATGATCACCGGAACTGCTCCTGCCAGACAAACCACTGCCCACAACATCAGCCTTGGGCCAAAAAACCATGCCTGGGTAGCCCTGAAAAACTGCATTCATTCCTTCAATCAACAAACATCTATCGAATACCTGCTGTGTGCCAGGCACTGAGTTTACAGACGGAAAGTACAAAGATCTCTGCCCTTGTAAAGTTTATATGCCGGTGGGCGGGCTGGCTCTGTCCTCACCATCAAAGGCCCCACATGGTGTCTGCGTCTCTGACTTCTGCAAGTCAGAAGCCAAGGCTCACAGGAATGCCTCTGATCAGGGAGCCTGGGTCACATGACACTGCGTGACTAAAAAGGAGCGGAAGAAAGTGAGTCTCTGGCAGGACTCCAGAGGCCAATGATTCACAGAGACACAAGAAAAGGCCCTGGACTTGTAGGTACTGTGGCTGCCCCCATTTTACAGATGAGGACACTGAGGCTCAGAGAGGGGAAGTCAGTTGTCCAAGGTCCCACAGCCAGTAAGCAGCAGTTACTGGGCTCAAAAGCACAGTGCAGGGATCACAGTCATTTACAGCTGGTATCTGTTGTCCCGTAAATCTAGTCATGAGG